TCAAAATCGGTTACGTGGTTCCCGAGATATGCGACATTATTATTATTGGCTGATCGGCCATTTTGATGACGTCACTGCCCGTGACCTAATTATTTTAAAGCTTGCCTCCCGGCTGATTTTCACTCTTTTACATGTATTTAGTCGATTCCCAAAGTATGGTGCTGGTCTCCGGAAGTGAAAGATTACTAGGTAATATGTTGCTTGTTCCACGCACTATTACAGTAGTAGTTAGGGTCAGCACTTTGGGTCTAACATGGGCTCTTATGGTGAATAGATTTACAGCTACCTAACGTAAATAAACTGCTATTTTATCCCTATGTAAACGTTTATTGAATAATTGTATACTGACACTGTATTACATATGTACTGTTTAATATGTGTAGTATAAGCTATAATCTAATTTCTAATGTTTATGTCTTTTAACTAATGTATACAATATCTATACAACATTTATACAGGGAGTAGGCTACCCAGCTCTTGCGGCCACCAATCAGAGAGCAGCATTTCATCCCCACCCCTCCCCCTAGGCTATGCCCTCTGGTGTCCCACGTGGTCTAACCTCACTTTTACCCACGTGGTCTAACCATACTTTTACCCACGTGGTCTAACCACACTTTACCCACGTGGTCTAACCATACTTTTACCCACGTGGTCTAACCACACTTTTACCCACGTGTTCTAACCTTACTTTTATTTTCGCGCCTAACAACATAACCTCACCTTCCCGCCAACTCCTGTCAAGTGAAACCTATGTGGACATTTCATGGATGTTATGTATTTTTGGTATGATGGTTAATCTGAATAATGTTATTCTCTAGTAACTGGCTGTGTATGAGTCTTTGATACCAGAGGTTTGCGGTTTTGAGTCCTACCAGTCACTAAACGTCTCATTTCCGGTTATGGTGATATGTTGATTTTCAGTGTTGTATTGTAGTCTCCTGTCTGTGTATGAGTCTTTGATACCAGAGGTTTGCGGTTTTGAGTCCTACCAGTCACTAAACGTCTCATTTCCGGTTATGGTGATATGTTGATTTTCGGTGTTGTATTGTATTTAACTGTTTGTATATGAATCTTTGGTTCCAGAGGTTTGCGGGTTCGAATCCTGCCAGTCACCAAATGTTTATTCCTGGTAGGGTTGATATGTTGATTTTTTGTGTTGTATTGTAGTCTCTGTCTGTGTATGAGCTTTTGATTGCAGAGTTTGCGGGTTGGAATCCTACCAGTCACTAAATGTTTCATTTCCGGTTGGGGTGATATGTTGATTTCTGGTGTTGTATCCTACCAGTCACTAAACGTTTCATTTCCGGTTGTGGTGATGTATTGATTTTTGGTGTTGTATAGTAGTTAACTGTTTGTATTTGAACCTTTGGTCCCAGAGGTTTGCGGGTTCAAATCCTACCAATCACTAAACGTTTCATTTCCGGTTGGGGTATGTTGATTTTTGTGTTGTATTGTAGTTAACTGTTTGTATATGAACCTTTGGTCCCAGAGGTTTGCAGGTTCGAATCCTACCAGTCACTAAACGTTTCATTTCCGGTTGGGGTGATATGTTGATTTTTGGTGTTGTATTGTAGTTAACTGTTTGTATATGAACCTTTGGTCCCAGAGGTTTGAGGGTTCGAATCCTACCAGTCACCAAATGTCAATTTCCGGTTGGGGTGATATGTTGATTTTCAGTGTTGTATTGTAGTCTCCTGTCTGTGTATGAACTTTTGATCCCAGAGGTTTGCGGGTTCAAATCCTACCAGTCACTAAATGTTTCATTTCCGGTCGGGGTGATATGTTGATTTTTGGTATGATGTTGTATTGTAGCTGGAGTAGTGTGAACCTTTGATCTCAGAGGTTGAGGGTTTGAGCCCTACCAGCCACTGATTGTTTCATTCTTAGTCACAATGAGTTTTAGTATGGTATAGAGAGTTTAGTGGTTTAGTCTAGGGTTTAAACTCTACTAGTATCTAATTGTTTCATAATTGGTATATCTTATGGTTGTGTAACATGTATCTGCTAATTTAATCAGCTGTGACTTCTTATGCCAAGATTGTATCTGTAACATAACCTCACTTTCTGTATTATACCAAGTCTATTCATTCATATTTGTGATACTGGAACGCTAGTGTCGATGAAATTGGCCCAGTGCTATTTAATTTAATAATATATTGACTAACAAAGCATCTACAGAATATCTGATAAAGCTTGTTCTATATTAATGATAACCTTACTTAAATGATTTATTTAAAGGTAATCATCACAGACTTATCTGTATCACTGTAACATGTAATTTAAAAAATATTACCTTGAGAATAACGAACCGGCACTGAAGATTTACTACAAAAGATTACACCAACATATTAAAAAATGAGCACTGTACTTTTCACTATTACTTGTACTGTATTTTAATACACCCAACTAATATACCATCACTTTTGTAGAGTGTTGTAAATCTGATATGTGAATGACTTCATCTTTCTGGCATAACATTCGTTGACTTTTTTATATCCATGCACTACCTCAATTCAGAGGTTGTGGGTTTGAATCCTATCAGTCACCGATCTGTTTGGGTTAATACTTTGAGTTTTATTGAATAGGAGTAGCATGAACTCTGATCCCCAAAGGTTATAGATTCGTATCTTACTAGTACCCATCTTCATATCTGGTATTTCTTGTGTAATATGTTTCTGCTAAATTAATCAGCCGTGACATAGCCTTAACTTTGAACCTCAGTTATTGAAAAGTTGAATAACAAGAAACAAATCGGGTAATTTACCAAGTTTATGGTAATGAATGTGACCTGATTTAAATTAATTACCTGTATCTTTGTAACTTGAAATTGGTACAGCATTACATGTGTACTGTACTGTATTACACTTGTAATATATTGTATTACACTTGTATTGCATTGTATTACATCTGTACTGCACTGAACCCACTAATTACTTGTACTGCATTGTATTACACTTAATAATTTTACTGTTCTAATACATAATAACTTTTATAGAGTTGTACATATGACAACTAATACTGATATGTGTTGACCTTTTCACCATTGACTGTGGTTTCTGGTGTAACTTCTTGTTGATATTTTCATGGATCAACATACACATTTATGCACTACCTCAGCTGTTTACTGTATAACTTGTTGCTACCGACATTAAAACCTGTTATAATCCTTGTGTGTTAACAGTTTTCTGTTTAGCTAACCACATAGTAATAATATCAATGGCTGTGTTAAGTGTTTAAATTTACTGTCTATGTCTTTTTGTTGTTGTAACTGTAAACATACCCTTTTACCTATCTGATGACTGTTGCCTGTGCATTATCGTCTAACATCTTTCTTTATATCTGTCATATCCTAACAGTGGAGAGCCTAGAATGTATGTTGACTTAAGTTACTGAACCTAACGCACAGATAATAGCTCTTTGTTTAGATGTACCAGCTTAAAACTTCTAATGTATCCTTTTTTACACTGATGTTAAATTTGCATCATCTCTGGTTAAGGGTGTTTGGTCAAAAATTTGATGTCTTATTTTTTGTTATTGTTTAATTGTACTAAAAATTAGAGATACAAATATATAAGAAAAAATTATTTATTTTGAATATTAAGCGAGATATGGAGCTTGAAAGTAGTAAATTTTTAATCTTTGGTACCAGTTCACAGGGAGAATGGGTAATGCGATTCTCACCAAAATTTGCATTCAGGTGTGGAAAAATAAGATAATAATCACTAGCTATTTAAAATTAAAAAATTAAAAAAAAAATTTATTTTTTATTTTTTATAAATTTTTTAAAAAATTAAAAAAATTTTTTAAAAAAATTTAAAAATAGCTCTTTGTTTTTGGGAAAAATGTATCTGTATGTTGGAATAAAAAAAAAGTGATATGTTAACTCGTTTGGGCTGTGAATTCGTACCTTTGATGCCTTGCGCTGTCGGAGCACTACTCGTTGAGAGTGTGTACACTAACACTGGGGCTTTAGAATACAACGATAAACGTATTCTTTCAATGTTAAAGGATGTTAATAATTACGTGATGTTAAAGCATTCTAAAGCCCCGGTGTTAGTGTACAAACTCTCAACGAGTAGTGCTCCGACAGCGCAAGGCATCAAAGGTACGAATTCACAGCCCAAACGAGTTAACATATCACATTTTTTTTTATTCCAACATACAGATACATTTTTCCCAAAAACAAAGAGCTATTTTTAAATTTTTTTAAAATTTTTTTTAATTTTTTAAAAAATTTATAAAAAATAAAAAATAAATTTTTTTTTAAATTTTTTAATTTTAAATAGCTAGTGATTATTATCTTATTTTTCCATACCTGAATGCAAATTTTGGTGAGAATCGCATTACCCATTCTCCCTGTGAACTGGTACCAAAGATTTAAAATTTACTACTTTCAAGCTCCATATCTCGCTTAATATTCAAAATAAAACATTTTTTCTTATATATTTGTATCTCTAATTTTTAGTACAATTAAACAATAACAAAAAATCAGACATGAAAATTTGCGACCAAACACCCTTAATAGTGTATACATTAATTTAGTCCTTACTGTATAGTGCTAATGATATTTTTCAATAGATATAGTCCTGATTACCTTTTGTCAAGGTCTATGCTTAAATGTCTAGATGATTTCTGAATGATATGGTCAACTAGTTACACTTTACAAAAGAATTAGAGTACAGATGGGAATTGGTTAATATGGCTGCTTAAATCCACTGTAAAAGTTACATACCTACCAGGGATTATAGAGGAACAATTTGATTGTACTGTTTATTTTAGTGAATGTATTTTTTATTATGTATTTGAAATTAGTTTTAGAGCAATGAAAACTAATAATTTTACTGACTCGTAAACATAGAACACCTATTATAAGGATAAATAAAGAACAGAAGATATAAAAAAAACAATAGTTGTGTATTCAATTTCTAAATATGTAATTAAACATACTATACCTGGAGTAGGAGATGAAGGAGGAAGAAGAGAAGGAAGAGGAGTTGTAGGATGAGGAGACGGAAAAGGAGGAAGAAAAGGAGAAGGAGGAGAAAGAGAAGGAGAAAGAAAAGGAGGAGGAGAAGGAGGAGAAGGCGATAGAGGAGGAGAAGGGGGAAGAAGAGGAGAAGAAAGAGAAGAAGGCGGAGAAGGTGGAGAAGAAAGAGAAGAAGGAAGAAAATGAGAAGGAGTAGGAGCAGGAGGAGGAAGAGAAAAGGAGGAAGAAGAAGATAAGGATGAGGGAAAAGGAGAAAGAAAAGGAGAGGGACGAAGAAGGGGAAAAGGAAGAGGAGGAGGAGTATACTCATTTCAAGTAAATGGTAATTGTATGTAACTGCCTAATCTCAAAAGAGCTTAGGTGACCCAGTTTCCACACCACGGTAAGCTGTTAGGCTAGGCCGTAGGGTCTCAGCGCGTTCTTTTTGTTAACCCAGAGCTTCACCAAGAATCCTAACCTCTGGGGTAGGCTGCCCCAACCATCGCAGCCTACGGTGATGGCCACTCCATAACAGATTTGCCACCTCCCAATTTTTTTTGGTCCTTTGACAAATGTAAAGGGTTATTTACTTGGTGAAGCCTTTCAATTAACCCCTTTAGCCACTGACAAAGGATATTTTACTTTTATATGTTTTTTGGCTCTGTCAACCCGTTCATTTTAAAAGTCATCAGGCCATTTACTAAGCGAACTGTTCATTTTAGCCTACGACATTTTATTTACTAAGAATGACAGAGATTTTCTAATTTGTTTTTTGTCAGATTATAGTCCGAAGTGAGAGGGAAATTAGGTGACATGGAGGATAACGCAATATTTTACGATTTTTAGGTCAACCTCCGTACCAGCCCCTGGACTTATGGATTTAAGCCTGCCTGTTGGGCGAGTACACACACACATACACATAGGGAGGATAACGCAATGTTTTACGATTTTTAGGCCAACCTCCGTACCAGCCCCTGGACTTATGGGTTTTAAGCCTGCCTGTTGGGCGAGTACACTCACACACACACACACACACACACACACACACACAAGGAAACACCTTGAACTATAATCTGGTTTTTAACTTGAATTGTATATTTTTAATATTCATATTCTGATATAAAATTACATTGTCACAATTTACTTTACTTTGATATATATTCCAACATTTTAATTGGTAGCTATTTTCTGGAGAAAATTTTAGAGCATTATCTCATGTTCATAGAATCTCAAGGATTAAACTCATTTTTAGGTTAAATGATTTAGGGTTTTATTTATCAACGATACCTGCTTGGTATAGAAACGGTTGTCACTTCAATTTTTAAAACACCTGTCATTGATTCTATTTTAGAAAATATACTGTCAAAGTAATTAGAGAATGATGCTGGTGTAAGTGTTGCAATAGGAATAAATGGTATATTACCAGATGTGTCTTCATATGTTAATAACACCCCAATAAAACATGATGAGGGTGTGTCTTCTGTAATTATTCCTATAATATGGTTTGAAAATGCCCTTGGCCATTCCAACACATCTATCGAATCAGTGAGAAAAAACTGAAACTCTGAGGTCTTAATACCAAACCTCTTACTTTCAATTATGTCTTTTTTAGACAGAAACCTCAGAAATACAGCCATTACAAGTGAGGAGATCACCAATGATACGTCTGTTCTCGCTGACTGTTGCAGGTAAAGTGATTAAAAACATACTACGACACCCACCTATATAAGGGTCAATGCTTCTGTTTTTTGTATCCATAGGGGAGAGTGTCATGCTCTCCTTCGTACTTTCTCTTTGGACCAGTTACCTTAAACTGTTTAACTTCATCTGTTGTTACAATATCTATATATTTTGTTCGTCTAATCCTGTGCTCATCAATTTCAACGATTTTAGAAGCTTCACTTAAAACCATCTCTTTTAGTTTCTCAAAATTCAAAATTTTCGATGTTTTAATATTGAGAGTAAGCCCTTTGATTTTACAAACCGGGATAAATTTCTGTTGATTTGTCGACCAGACAAGGTATGCATACGTTTTTGGACCCCCAGACACAAATTCAGTAATATAAGAGCCGGGTCCATACTCTACTAATTCGTCTGTCATTTCACCAAGGTAATCTCCTGTAGGCACCCTATACAACCCTTCGTGGTAGTAATATATAATACTATCTGTATCCCAATATAGTACTTGATCTCCTAGAGCATCAAGGTGTTCATACAACTTAAGTCTAGCGTGGGCAGTAGTGAAGGCCGCCATGACTACACTTACAGTTCTTAAAGATTCACTAGCTTCTTCAATATTTTGCCAATTTACTAGCACAACATCTTGGTTAATTGCCTGGAAGTATTTTAACTTCCCCTCAGGATTGGTTAATAGCCGAAAGAACTCTTTGGCATCTCGGATGATTGAAGTTTTCATCATATTTTCCCTCTGCCCAAACTTGCCCCAGAAACTGTTAAGCATCAATTTTGCTACTGATCTTAAACCACCGTTCTTAACAATATGCTCCTTTGTCATCTCAATCCCTTCACGTTCAAGAAATTTTGCAATGTACTTGTTTTTGTCTTCCTCTGTCTTACACCATCCGGGGTATCCAGAAGCCTCTTGCTTTAGTTTTAAGAATTTATCAATAAACTCAGTGAACAATCCCCCATTTTCATATGTGGCTACCTCATACTCCCACAACTCAAGCATATCCAGTATAATGTAACCTTTTTCTACAGCCTTCCTAATTTCATCCATCGTCCACGTCCCAATCAACGCTCTATCTTCACTTTCATGAAAACAATCCCCCTGGTACATCATTTCCCCACATGTTCTGCAGAGAACAAACATCAATTTATCATGAATACGTGTTGGCAAAACCGGATGATACAAGTTGAAAGGAGGCAAGATCTTGCATTTTAACAGTCCATCTACATCCATGCCTCTCTGTCTACATTCCTTATTACCAACATATATAGTTGGATGACCTATAGGATATTTACAGTACTTATTTACAAAAGGATATAGCGAACATACATCAACGTATTGTATGGTTTCTCCTGGACCACATTTGTAGTAGGTTTTTGCGTTTCCTGTTCTACCTCCAAAGAATGCATCTCTAGGATTTAATGGAAGTGTATTTAAAATTGGTAATTTGTTCAGATGGTTAAGTTTTTGGTCATGTTTTAATTTTTTGAATTCACATTCCCAAATCTGCACTACATCTCCGAGCTTTTCGATTTTAGCTTTAGTGCGCTCATATCGCAAATGGAGAGAATCAGAGGGGTCTTCTTTTAACGGGGTATCACGATTATAGGAGAAACATTTAGGGCACCCGTGCCAGTAACATCCGTGGAACTCGTATATGTTTCTACCATCAAAACCATCTACTTTCATCCCCTTTATAACAACCTCTTTACTACGTCCAGCATGATTGATTGTCACCCCACGTCTTTCCTCCTCCCAGGTAAGCCACTGAAGTGCAACAGCTGACTGAGTAGAAGACCGGTAACCGTTTTTTGGGATAAGTCCAATTGTGTTAGGTTTTAAGAAATTGCGGCGAAAGGCCAGATTGCAGGCACTCGCGATGGTCACAGTCTCGAGAAACGGGTCAACATTGCATTGTTCAAGTAGTAACGATCTAAATTTGATACATGCCTGAGCTAAGATATCTACATCTGACATACAATATTCTAATAATTCCTTTTGAAAATTAAACTCATACTTTTTTGCAACCTGTTCATCGTACCACTGCTCAAAATCTCTGTTAGTTTTCTCGAACATACTCTCAGGACAGTAAAAATGTTTTTCTGGCATAGGGCCTATGTAATTTTGATTAGCCACTGTATTGAACAAGTGTGGGAAGTAACCTTTCTTCTTTTCAGGTGGTAAGTCAAAAGCTTTTGGTAAGGCAGATAAGGACATAGGGAAGTAGCTAAGAGAGTCAATAAATCTAACGTTAGCAACCTCCATCAAAATAATTTTAGTACCTCTAGGGATGATGTTAGGTGTGAATTTAGTTTCTTCGAGTATATACCTAAGTATAAAGTGAAAGTCAAAACCCTGCCCGTTGTGTGCAATTACACAGACGTTTTTGAAATGTTTACGGGTTTCCATTACATAGTTCATAAACTGCTTAACAGGATTGCTATCAAATATTTTATAACGTTCTGAACAAGAATCACATTCCTGCCTATTTATGCATTTGAAACAGAATTGTTGAGAAACACATAAATTCACTTTATGTAACTTAGTCTCGGGATCTGTGGGTAGGGACTCATCTTGGCGTGTTTCCAGATCAAAGAAAATAAATAGGTAGTCGCGGTCTTTTGGGGCTTTCTTGTCTATCTGAATGTAGCATTTATGATTAGGATCTTTAAATGTACCACAAGGGTGACAATATACTTCTCCACACACATGAGCCAATTTACGTTTAGTCGGGAATGTCATTTTTTCACACCCTCGGCAGAACTTAATTGTTTTACAAATTTGTCTCTGATGGGCAATAAAGCACCGTTCATTTTTGAAAAAGCGGTTACAATAGCGGCAAGATATGCCGCCATCTTCCTCTACACAAGGAGGCGAGAAAGTGTGACAAGATGGACAGATATTTGAACATCTGTGTTGACCTTTGTGATCATAGGGTATGTGACAGGCGTCACAGAAATAATTGCAAACAAAAGCAGCTGTTAAGTTTGTAATAACATTATAATGGTTATCATGGTACAATAAGTTGATTTTAAATTTTGCATCACTATTCCCACCAGAGAAATATACATCCCGACCCTTGCTATCGTAATTATACACGGTTATTCTATATTTCTTTAAATGTGCCTGGAACTTCTCGAGTTCAGGAATACCTGCTCCCTCTTCAGGCATGTCAATACATGCTTTAGCTATAAGTTTCTTTGCCCTAATTGTCTGTCGCAAACACTTGTCTTTACGAATTCCATAGATCTGAGGATCCATTTTTTGCATATGCTTTACCTACAACTATGGCTCTAGCTAGACATAAGTTGTCAGTGTTATTTATAACAATAATCCCTTTCCTTGCTTTACATTCTTCGTTGAATGAATTATACATTCCTGGACGCACTCTGCCCTTGCCTACAGGAACATTAACTCTAGAAACACCGACCGTAAACGTATCACTACTAGTAATTGACTCAGAGTTACTTTGAATTATGCCTCCAAAAATATCCCATAGTGAATCAACTGTAACCTCAGAGGCTAAT